GTAAAATTCTTTGTTCTGATTGGTCGCTCAAACGCTTCGAAGCGTTTGTAGCGTCAAGTGGACCGCAGCCTAAACCATCATAATCTCGAAACAGTCGCAATGTTGAAACCAAGTGCGGAGTATAACCGAAGAGCCGCGATTATCGAAAGTATTCGCGCCGGGCGCTCGGCGACAGAAATCATTCGGTTCTTCGGGTATCCGAGATCGACTGTGTATGATGTCTTCGCAAAGTACCATGAGTCGGAAAAGTCCAACGAAGGTTCTGCAACGTCGGCGAGGAAATTCCACTCGAAGGAGCGCGTTGTCAGGACGCCCGACATCATTCAACGAGCTCAGGAGATTTTTGAGGATCCAGGGCAGTCGATCCGAAAATTGTCGTCGGTTGTTGGTGTGAGCGAGAAAACTATGCGTCGAATCGTCGAGGAGGACCTTCGCTACAAGTCTTACACAATTAAAGTGAGACAGATGCTTTCCGAAGTCGCTAGGACAAAGCGAGTTGAACGCTGCAACTTGCTTTTGTGTTCCTTAAAACACAATGCTGCCGGACGACTCAAGTTTTTTTCTGACGAGAAAATTTTTACTGTGAATGCGAAAATCAATCAAAGGAATGACCGCTGGCTCGCCCACAACCCTGAAGATGTCCCCATTGTTGCAAGAACGAAATTTCCGGCGAATGTTCACGTGCTAGGTGTTGTGTCCAGTGAGGGTGATGTCATGCCACCGCATTTTTTTAATAAAGGGGAAAATGTCACAAAAGAAGTTTATTTGCGTGTTCTGACAAATGTAGTGAAGCCGTGGATGGAAACTGTCGTCTGGAAAGCCATATGTTTTCCAGCAGGACGGTGCGCCCGCCCACACAAGTCATTTGGTGCAAAATTGGTTGTCGGACAACATCGACATGTTTTGATCGAAAGAATTCTGGCCTCCCAACAGCTCAGATTTGAATCCTTTGGACTTCTACATATGGAGCGTGGTTGAAAGGGTCACGAACAAGTCCAGACATCCAAACGTCGCATCATCGAGAGCCGCTATTGAAGCGGCATTCACCGATATGGACCGTGACACATTAAAGCGTGCCTACGCACGCTTCAAACCGAGAATGGAGGCGGTCATTCAAGCAAGCGGGGGATATATTGAGTGAATATGTTCTTTATGGCCTTACAAACAATGGAGGTAAACAAATTTTGTAAACCTTTTCATTGTAGCAATAAAACATATGTTTAGAAAAAATGTATAATTTGTCCGGATTTTGGTGCCGCACCCTGTATATCGTTGTGTCTCACTCAAACGCATTCATCTGTCCTTATCTCATATTGCAACGCCATCTCTTAGAAAGAGATCAACTAAAATACTGCTCGGTTTCATGGCTAAACAGTCTAAACTGTCGTACACATCGTCGATTTCTCATGCGCTAAACACATAATTTCGTAGAATGCAATTATCTTTTTACTTAGGCGTCAAAACATAATTCTAAAGATACGACTGTATTCGTCTATTTATTCTATATGTGCTGCTGCCCTAATTTCGAGCATATAATGTGCATATAATTTTTTCACGAAGTAAATGTTTGATGAGCTGATAACACAAGGATACAGGAATCTGTAATTTATTATTTTTCCCAGTTTTGGACACAAAATACACCAGGAGCGGGTACATTAGCACAGATATTTCAATGGTGGAGAAGGAATTTTTATTCTGTGCAACTAATTCGAAGAACCGCGCAAGGAATATAAATGCTTGCTTTATCGGTAAAAAAGAAGACTCCAGTATCCCCTTAAGGGGATGCTAAACCAATTACCCAACTCAATTAAGGTCGATAGTACAGACTTTTTTAATTCCAAATTCGATAATAGTGGTGACATCTTCGATTTAGTTTTTACATTATATTATATAATATATATCATTCTGTCTTACTCAAACGTATACATCTGTTCTTATCTAACATATGCCAGCACCATCTATCGCAAGACCGCGCAACTACTGCTACACGGAATTTCGGCTTTGTTGACAGTCCCAGTCTTCGCAAAACACCTGTATACACGTATTTTCTATTCGGTAAAAATATTTCTTTTCTAGACTTTCAATCTTAGTTCTACAAACTCGGTATCGTTCGTTTCAATAATGTGACCTCAGCTGCGCGCTTATTTTTCAAGATATGGACTCTAAAACTCTTATATCAAGCAAATATATATCTGAGGTGACAGCTGTACGAGCCAAAAGTAAATGAATTTTTAAGGGGATGCTTAAGTCTACTTTTTTACCGATAAAGCAAGCGTTTATGTTCCTTCCCAGACAGCACAAAATACTAAAAGATAACGAAAAGAGGTCTTTTTTAAGTCGTCTTTGCGACAAAGCGAAAAGGTGTCTAAAAGATGACGAAAAGACATTGTTTTTAGATTGTCTTTTCAGCAAGATCAAAAGATATCTATAAGACATCTTTTAGCTTTTTCGAAAAGACAACTTAAAAAAGACATCTTTTCGTCATCTTTCTATGGTTGTCATTTTCGCAAAGCAAAAGGTCGACTAAAAGATATCTTTTCGTATTGCCGAAAAGACAACATGAAAAAGATATTTTTCCGTTATTTTGGTACTTTTTATAACTCATTCGCGAGCAGTACGCGAGATCGCCACCAGATGGACGTGATGGAGTTTAGTCTCTCGCGTTTGAAAATCATACAGGACAGAATAAAATGTGCAGCATAATGAAAAATTTTACTCGTGTTTTAATGAACACTAATAAAATATTTTTTTGTAATCGAGTCCCCAAAGGGAACTATGACGAAAGATAATGACTTGCACATAGGACACGGCAAACATTGCAGGAAACGTATATTGTCGGTCATGCAATTTTATTTCATTTTGTGTAAAAATTAATTTAGGAATTCGATGTATTAAACGTTATATATATCAAAATATAAAAACTAAAAGAAGTATTAAAGATGACTAAAAGATATCCAAAGAAGTCATCTTTTAGTTATCATATGGATAAGACTATAAGATGACTAGCAGTGCGACATCTGTCGTCTTTTAGTCATCTTTTCGTCGACTATATTCTTTCACTAAAAGATATCTTTATAACAATTTAGTTGTCTTTTAGTCATCTTTTAGACGACTTTGTGCTCTCTGGGTTGCGCGGTTCTTCGAATTAGTTGCACAGAATAAAAATTTGTTCTCCACGATTGAAATATCCGTGCTAATGTACCTGCTCCTGGTGTATTTTGTGTCCAAAACTGGGAAAAATAATAAATTACAGATTCCTGTATCCATGTGCTATCAGCTCACCAAACATTTACTTCGTGAAAAAATTGTATGCATGTTATATGCTCGAAATTAGGGCAGGAGCACATGTAGAATATACGATTACAGTCGTATCTTTAGAATTACGTTTTGGCGCCTAAATAAAAAGATTAGCGCAAGGAACGAAATTGTGTGTCTAGCGCGTTAGAAGTCGACGCTGTATGATTGTTTAGCCATGAAACCGAGCAGTATTTTAGTTGATCTCTTTCTAAGAGAGGGCGTTGCAATATGTTAGATAAGGACAGATGAATGCGTTTGAGTGAGACACAACGATATATAATAAGTATAAGAAATGAATGAAAGATGTCACTATTGTCGAATTTGGAATTTAAAAAAGTCTGTACTATCGACCTTGATTAACTTCGACCGTCACTCCAGCATCCCCTTAACGAATCTGAAAATTTTTTTCGATTTTCTCATGAAATCCATTGCATCTGAGGTCCTGTTTGTGCGTACTTTAATTTAAGCAATAATACTTTTGCAATCCGTACATCCAATACAGAGATTTTGCACCGAATGGAAATGTGGTAAAACAGGAGGCTTTAGCATCACCTTATGCGGCATCTACAATGATATTTTAAGACGTTAAACTTAAGCTTTAAGCCTTAAGTCTTAAGAAATTGACCAATCACAATCAAATGTGAGGAGAATAATCGACTATGATTGGACATTTTTTTACAGCTTAAGGTTTAAAACTTAAGTTTTACGCCTTAAAGTCTCATTGTATACGCCGCTTTAAGACGGTCTTAAGTAATGTCTTAAGTCGCTAATGCGGTCTTCTGATTGGTTCATGACATCTTAAGACTGTCTTAAATATAAGATCCGACTATGAATACGGCCATAAAGCTCACTGCCAAATGCACGTCCATCGGGCATATACTATAGTCGCTAGACGCACGGAGAATTATTTTCTTTCATCGCTGTGCTGCTTATAATAACAACACCGCGCCAATCGACCAAGAGCCAATGGGCGTGTATTTGACGGCATGATCGAACGGAACGGAAGGATTATACATGTTTATTCAGTGATCTTTAAAAATTAATATCTCGTTAACATTGCGAAAATTATAAAACACAGAACTTTTTTACTCTTTGTTAGTTTAATCCGTTCTACGCGCTCATGCACGAGCGTTGGCAATAGAAATTACCAAACACCTTGTATATTTCGAAGGTTGTTTATTTTGGCTTATTTGATCAATTTGATGTATCACGAGGTATCAATTTTTCAATATCGCAGATCCATCATTGGACGGACCTTTTCATTCCGCATTAACATTCAATATTTCGCTTAACTCTTTTGCATCTATATTTAATCGCTCCTCTCTGTGTGTGTTTTTTTTTCTTCAAATCTTAAATTGTAATCTTTGTTACTTTGTTATTTTATTTTCTCATCTTAACTATATACTGTACTTGTAAAATATGTTCTCACAATTTTCTTATTGTATCAAATTATAATATAATTAATATATCATATTAATAATATACACAATATAATTTTAATAATATAATTTATTTATTTTATCTTCTCATCGTTGTAATTATTTTATTGTGTTTTTACGTGTTGGTTCTTGGACGGCTTATCCTAGAATTATTCCCCCCCCCCCCCCCCCCTCTCTCTTTCTCTCTCCTCATCGTAGTGCGTTGTTTGCCAAGAGGGCGTTAGCGCGTGAGAGGTCTTAAGTTTCAACGCGGACACGGACCGGTTGTGAGTCGATGAGTCGTGAGGATATCAGTAGTCTCGCCGGAGTCCATACTCCACGCCAGTCTTACCGGTCTGGCGGTCCACATAATATGTGCTTGGTATTGATGTTTTAAAAGATCTTGCGCCTGGAGTACGTGTTATCGTTGTGAGCACTCAGTAGCGTTATCTCTGGAGTGAAAATACGTGGAAAGTGCTGAGTCATTCCATTTAACAGAAATTACGAGTTATCCGCGTCGCTAACAGCCTGTTGAAATTCAGGTGAGCATGAAATTATTTAAGCGATTATCAGTCATGGATCCTTAACCAAGTTCAAGGTCTTTACGCTCCTACAGTCTGGTTTGATGTGACAAGCGTTTCAATTGATGCTTGTTCAAAGTGATATTTTATGTCACATTAACATACATCATATTAATGTTATTTAATGATATATTTTCAGAAAAATATGCATTTCCGCGTGGATACTATACCAAGAGCCATAAATCATATATTTGAAAATAAAGAACCATGGCAAATAGCAGCTATGACGAGTACAGCTACCCTTGCTACAGTATGGTTATGGACTTTTATTTATCAGGATGAGAGTAAGTATTGCAATAATATGCGTCAGCAGAAAAAATAGCCTTACAGCTGTTGTAAAATTCTTTAATGTGATTGGTTTTGCTAATGTATAATTATATTAAAAAATCGTACAGTTGCAAAGCTGCTTGCTTTTCTGCTAAACGCAGCCATTGAATGTGATATATATATATCTTTAAGTATAAGTCAGACATAATATATAATTATATTTTATGATTAGTTTTTTCTAGAGAAAATTACTCTTATCATACATGTTGTATAGGTCTTTTAGAACGTGGCAAGAAACATATGTTTAGACTAGCTCGTTATATTCCTTCTATTCGTGACAAAATAAATAAAGAGCTAGCTAAAGTCAATGAAACCTTTGAAAATGATGTTTTGCGCAGATTTAAAGAAACTTCATTCATTGTGCATCTTCCCAAAAATGGATTAAAAAATGAAAAGCTATTAAGTTTAGTAAATCAGTATATTTATCTTGGTAAGAGAGAGACTAATTAACACGTTGCCAATATATCTTACGAGAGATTTCAATATTTTAATTTAAATTTTTCACTTTTGTTAGGTGATTATGATTGGAAAAGAGGTCGTGTATCAGGTACAGTTTACAGAACTAACAGTGAACTTACAGAGTTAATGGGGAATGTATATGCAATTGCATCTTATACTAATCCACTACACCCTGATGTTTTCCCTGGAATTTGTAAAATGGAGGCAGAAGTAGTTCGGATAGCCTGCCATTTGTTCAATGGAGATAAAGATTCTTGTGGAACTGTAGTTTTTCTATTACTTTTACAATTTAAATAAAATTATACAAATTAAATATTAAGATGCAACATGTGAAGTTTCTTCGATAAACATTCTAGATGACTTCGGGTGGCACAGAGTCAATTTTATTAGCATGCAAAGCATACCGAGATTATGCTCGTGATGTCAAAGGCATAAAAATACCAGAGATAGTGCTTCCAGTTACCGCTCATGCAGCGTTTGACAAAGCTGCCAAATATTTGAAGATAAAAGTATGTTACGTGCCTGTTCATCCGCACAGTTTTACAGTTTGCATCCAAACAATGAAAAAGTCAATTACGAAAAATACAATAATGGTAAGCTATGGCATAGTGTAACTGTGCAATTTTATCTCAAATTTATTCGAATTTAATTATTTCTGATAGTTAGTAGGATCTGCGCCGAATTTTCCCCATGGAACGATGGATAATATCGAAGTAATATCTGAATTAGGCATAAAATACGGTATTCCTGTTCATGTAGATGGCTGTCTAGGCGGTTTTCTAGCCTGTTTTATGTCTGATGCTGGCTATCCTTTACCACCCTTTGATTTCAAGCTTCCTGGTGTAACCAGTATATCAGCTGATACTCATAAAGTATTCTTCCATACTATATATAAGAATGTATATGTTGTTTAAGAAGTACGTATAAAACATATAATTCTTTCAGTATGGATATGCTCCGAAAGGATCGTCGCTAATCCTTTATCGAAACAAAAAATACCGACACT